AAAGAAAATCCACAGAAGGGGAAACAAGCAAAGGGACCAAAAAAAGTCATGCTGAAGCAAACATGGCTCGAATTATTGGGAGCAGCAACACTCGAGGGAAATATAGAAAAGCAACCTAATACTGTACTAGCAGCCATACAGAGGAAACCACAGCCTGAGCAGAAGTTTGTCCCTTCACTTCCTTCATCTGGTAGACAAGGAAGATGAGTCACCTCTTAATCTTTCTACTGCCCTGGTCAATCAGGACTGGTTCACATCCCAGGCCTGAGATTAGTAGTGGCACAAAGGTTGACTTCATGTTCGAGTAATAGAGGCCAATCAGAGACCCCAAACTGGGTTCCCCATTTACTATTCTTCCCAAAATAATAAGAAAACTATTGCCTTAGTTGATTCTGGGGTGCAATGTACATTAATCCATGGAAATATGGAAAGACACCCCCTTTAATAGCTTCCACTGATGGTTACTGGGAACAAAAGATCCAGATGAAAGGGCTTTCTGCATCTATGTACTAAAAAAGCTCCTCCTGCCCCACATATCTTACTTATTTCACCTTTTCCTGAAAATATTTTAGGCATAGATATTTTATTAGGAAAGACTCTACAAACTTCAGTGGGAGAACTCAGATTGAAGGTGCACACGGTGAAAACTGTTCTCAGGTCAGATGCAAAATGGGGACCCCTGGAAATCCTTAGCCCTGAGTGGGCTATTAAAGTCAAACACTATCAATTGACTGGGGCCTATATGCTGAAATAAATGAAACTATTGAAGAATAGGCCAAGGTGCGTGCATTATCCAGCAAAATGTCCTTTTAACTGCTCCCTCTTGTCTGTACACAAACCGGGTGGTACCTGGTGGCTGACTGTGGGCTACTGGGGCTTGAGCAAGGTAACCCCAGTCATACATGCTGTAGTTCCTAATGCTATTCAGGTAGTTGACCACAAAGTGTCTGCATTTGGGGAAACATCATGCTGCTTGAGATTTGGCTGAAATCTCTTTTAACATTCCTCCCACCAAACAGTCACAAGACCAGTTTGCTTTCACCTGGCGAGATCACCAGTGGACTTTTCAAGTGTTGCCCCATGGACATCTTCCCAGTCCTAG